ATAAACATATTTTATTTTGTATAAGTTTAGTAAATATAAGCTGTCCTAAGTACATCTTTTTTCACTGAAAATTAATCTTATAATAGAGTATATATAGGAACTCTGTTTTCTGAATGAGCTAAGGCTGGGGTTATTTGATGCAATGATTTATTGTTTTTGGGAGGAACAAATCATCTAATCTAATAAGAAAATGTCACTGCAATTTTACTTAATGAATTCCTGGGACTGACTTTATGAAGATGCTTTTAAATTTTTTTTATGAGAATATACTTATGTTTGTTAAGTGTGCCCGTTTTGAACAGACTATGCTCTTATCTCCTCTTAATTTTTTGTTTTCCATCTTGAATTTAGAGAACAACTGCACAGCTTGATACGACTGCTGAGGTTGAACCCAGTATGGACACAACATTCAAGCTTGATACAGCTCTGAATTTAGATTGTGATTAAATATTTGCCACAGCATAGGTTTCTGACACTGAATTAATGTGGTCTAAGAACTTAAAAATTTTAAATTGGACATTTACCTATTATAATCCAATATCCAAAATCTAAATACATGGTTATACTCAGAATATCAAAGAACCCCAACAATTCAATTTTTGATGAAAATCAGACAAAGTTTAATTTTGGACCCTTTGGACCTCAATGTGGACCAAAATACAAAATTTAAATACACGGTTAGATTAAGCATATCAAAGAACCCCAAGAATTCAAGACTTTGAATTAAACCCCATTGAAATTGGTCAAGAAATAAGCCATTTATACAAAATATTAGAAAAATATTGTTTTAGCCTCTTTTTCCTAAACAGTTAGGGCAATAACCCCAAAAATCAATCCCAACTTTCCTTTTTTCGTATGGAACTTTGTGGTACAATTTCAACTTATACTCAAGTTATTGTCTGGAAACCAAATGTCTTCGGACGACAACAATACCATAACATTAGATGGCCGCAAATTTCTGAGGTCGTATAAAAATCTGCCATGGGAAATAACATATTAAAACTTCAAAACCATTGGTTGAATGGTTCACATATAACTGCATGGAAACTATATAAATTTCCATTTCCATATCAATCAAGGGCCATAACTCCTGAACGACAAAAATGAAATTCATCAATAATGAAGATGAACTCTGTGGATTATTTTTTGTTTGTGGGTACTGATTTTTATTGAAAAACAAAAATTGTATTTTCATGGAGACTTGATTTAGGGATTTAAATTCTGCAGATAAGACTTCTTGGAGTTTGTGATTTGTTGAACTTATATTTGTGGTTTCCCTATACTGACTAATTTGTTGACTATCAATACCCCATGAATACTAATGAAGCTACAGTATACTATTTTGTAGGATGAATAGTCATAGACCTAATTGAGATGAAATTTTTGTGCTAATTTCAAAGTCTTCCTATAATTCGAAGTAATATAAAGATAAACAAGATCGTTAATAAAATGAATGTATGATTAACAATGAGAAACCAACTTGAGACAGTAAATTTATTGTAAAGTTTAAAGTATTGTAAATATGACTGACAGACTAATAAAAACATTGCATTTCAATCTGTAAAATAAGAATAAACAATAAAAAAAAAAAACTCACAACAAAAATATCACAGTGAAGTAAATTGGATTTCATCTTGACCTTTCATCTTTGTTCTTGACAGGAATTTATCCTGCCCATTTTAAGTGGCATTTGTCTGGTGCATAGGAATCATCCTAGTATACCATCAAAATTTAACTCCTCCTACATAGCTTGAATGGTTTCAATGCAAGTTTACACAATCCATTATTTATATAAATATGTGAATAAAGGGATATGCTTATGGTCTTTAAAGAATTGGATTTCTTACAGTTTGATAGGGAATATAACTAACAGTTTCTCTTGCTTCACTTATTATGAATAGCAGACATTTCTTTACTTCTAATTTTTTTTCCAAAAACTATACAACCAACCTATTAATTAACTATTTTTATTTCATACCTCAATTCTAACTTTTAGCTAACTAAAGATATTATTACTTTAAACATATTTCATTCTCAACAAGCTAACGACAATGGATGGGACTAACACACATGGTCTTACTGAGCACCAGGTGTACAACCAACCTTCACTTTAGTGAGTAGCTGACTCACTCTATCACATTCCTGTAGTTCACGAGTACATACTATTTTCACACAAATAAGACAAGTGTGGGTGTCAAATCCTAAATATTGTAGTGATAGTCTTCGACATCCCACTTGAAAAAAAGGGCTAATAAAAAACCCATTTTGTAACTTCTCTTATTATTGTCCTCCCTTTAATAGGTACAAAATAAGCTATATAAAAATGTTACAATTTTAATTAGTGAAAGTGAAAAATTAAATCAAGAATTCCGTGTTTTAAGTACAATCCCATTTTCAAAGGAAAATAGTAATGAAAATGAAAATTTATAGAAAAACAATACCATTACCCTATGCAAAAAAAGCGATATTACATAAAAAACATCTTTAAAAAAACAACGGAATTACAGAAAAAACGCTGATAACTTTAAATCAAACAAATATTCTAAAAAAAAATAAGTTATGGTGACTAGCTTTCAGTACACAACTATTCTCCTTTAATCATATAACACAAAAAGAAATTTCAAGATATTTTCTTAGTATTCATCAGATCAGATGATTTTAATCCCTTTTATGATTCTGAGTTCGGAGCTATTATCTGATTTGGCCGCTCCGGACTCAGAATCCCAAAAGGGATTAAGATAATTTATGCTTGAACTACAATGTACACTGGATATTTTTTTAACTTTGAAATAATTAGATAATTGTTCCTATTGAATATGGAGGTAAATAAAATTAAATATTGAAATATGGTATAAAGCTGTAAACATCATATGATGAGCCAACAAATGGCAAATTCTCTACTAACAAAAACATGCAATTTGTTTTGTGCACAAAAAGCTTATATTTTATGAATTAGTGTTGAAAAGTACAAGTCCACCTAAGAATTCTACTATATGGAACTAGCAAATTGTTTACATGAGACACGAAAATTATTTCCCATTTAAATTCTCCTGATAATGTAAATTATCGGTTTTCCCTCAATCTGATTATAAATCTTCTTAAAATCACACTTCACTTTTATTTATCTTTTAACAGAAAACAATGACAATTTCAATTTCAGTATTTTATGAGAACTTGAAATTAATTTAAATTTTCTCTGGTTCTTTTAATTTTGGGGTTTACAAAGTATTGCCTTTTTAGAAACGAAAAATATTTTTCCAATGGAATATCTAAAATTTCATAGAATTTGAGTTAATATTACAAAACATTTGGTAACATTAAGTAATAATAATTCAATAATTTTTAGATATAGAAATTGTTTTTTTTTTTTACTTTAAACAAATAAAAGGTATTGTTGCCTTTCTATTGTTGCTAAGTATGCCTATTAGAATAGAACACAAAGAGTCATGGTTCAAACAATTGCAAAACGGTTGTCAAATGATGCTTGAAATTACAAAAAAATGCTTCATAAGTTAATTTGTTTCCTCTAATTTCACTGACTGTCAGCTTGATTTTACTTCTTTTAGTTGTTCTCACTAGACCGAGTACCAAAAAGTTCATCCTCTTTACCCTATATGATATGGTTCAAAAGGTCAGATAAGTTTTATTATTCTATTTGGATAATAATGTACATATAAATAAAAAGGATTTTTTTTATGAACAAGCTTCTTATTTTTTGAATTTATCTTGTAACATTTACCTTGATTTTTCAAATTGGCTTCCAAGACATTAACAATATTGAGTCTAAAAATATTCTAATTACAATTCTCATTAATACTTCTTAGGTCTGTTCCAGAAATCAATGTATTGGGGTCAGAAAGCACTGTTTATTTTGAATTTATCTTGTAACATTTACCTTGATTTTTCAAATTGGCTTCCAAGACATTAACAATATTGAGTCTAAAAATATTCTAATTACAATTCTCATTAATACTTCTTAGGTCAGTTCCAGAAATAAATGTATTGGGGTCAGAAAGCACTGTTTATTTTAACCCATCATGCATAATATTTAAATAGAATATTTAAAACAAACACCATACATCAAACTTTAATATAAGTGTTTTCCCACCCCTCCATACTATTAATTCTGGAACAGCCCCTTTACTATAATAATTTAAATAAAACATTAACAACAAAATTAACAAATAAACAATTTCAGTCTGAAGACTTTTTTGCTGTATTACTTTGAGATTTAACTGGTATTCACTGTTATAAAACCTTTGTCATGTTGACTGAAAAACTTGTTTCAGCATTCAATGTAAAAAACACAATAATATAAGTAATCTATATTGCACTACTAATAAATGCCATCTTTTATTAAAATTCAATCAAATATGGCCTCTACGAGTACCCTTGACCACAGATCAGATCTACTGTCCCATAATGCTTCAAAATCACCATTTTCACCGTCGGAATATTTCTTCATCACTGTCATGGTAACGACTGACATGTCGAATTGTTGTCAGTGTTGTTTCTTCTTGGTCTGACCTAAAATAAATGTTGATATGAGTTTGACCAAATAATTCATTTTCTAAAGCTAACCCTACTTCTTCATTATATTTATTGTTAAAATGAATTGCATATATGAATAAGAAGATATGGTATGAGTGCCAATGCAGTCTAATTCACCTTAATTTTTTATACCAGACTACCAAAATCAAAAACCAAATCTTCATTTGAAGGACCAAAACTGTTTCCAATATTACTGCAGGTCAATATTTATGCATATGACCTTAGTCAAACATTTTTTACTTGCATGGAGAATTCTTTTGACGTTTTCTTTTTTTGTAAGTCAACTTTATCTCACAAAATGAAAATTTCTGTAGAATTAAAAATTTTGTAACCAAACGAAATTAAACGAAGTGCTTTTTATACCATAACAGAATTTAAAATGTCTGTAAAAGTGGTAAGGCAAAATAGCTTAACCATGTCACTAATCATAGACTAATTATAAAACCTACCCATAATGCACATCTTCATCAGAGTCATTCAACATGCTCATACCAGGATTGTCTTTAAAATTGCTCTCTGTAAAAGAAAATTATTATGATCATAAAAAATTTGAAAGTAATATTTTGAACTACTATTAATTTTTGTTCATGGAAAAATCACAGATCAATGGTCATTAGCAACATTTTTTAAACATGGAGAAAGGATTTTTTTAAATTGCCAGGCAAATAACACTTTTAGTTTAGTCTTGCTTATTTCAAGCAACATATTATTTTGGCTATTTAAGAAAAAGATAAACTCCATCCACAACCATCATTGAAATCACTGTTTTATACGATGTTTCTGTGCCCCTGCCATTGATATTGGATTGAAAAAAATCCAAAAGATCAGAACCTTACAAAAACGTTTTTTTGGACTGACATGAAAATTAACCTGAGCAAGTCAGGAGCTTGTAATTCAGTGGTTGTCCTTTGATGCTGTATATCATATTTGATTTGCGTTCATTGTTTTGTACATAAATCTGGATACATCATTTGGTCTCTGGTGGACAGTTGTCTCATTGGTAATTATACCACGTCTTTATAATTTAATATGGAATAGATGTAAAAAGAAAGAAAACACTTTTTTTCAAACTAAGCCGAACAAGCTTACTATTTATTGCATATTTGGAAGGCGAATACACAGATGCCATTGTGTATATATATAAATTTAGCAGACCATAAAATGCGACAAATGCTGCTGAATTTTTGTAGTTTGTGGACAATTCTGCTACAAAATTATCTTGTAAAGCTGCAGCACCATATCTCTTCACTGTTATTGTAATACTGATTGTCAACACTATTAACATCAAAAACGTCATGAACTTTAACCTCAAATCTGAAAATAAAACAAAATTTGTGAAAACAAGCATAGAAAAACAGTAATGAATTTACAGTTACAGATACTAAAGCATTTTGGAAAATATTTTAGAAGCATTCACTTATTTTTTTTGAGCCTGTACCAAGGCTGCCTAGATGTATCTTAACCATGTGTTTTTATACGTTTTTGTTTTGTCTTTGTTTATAGGTCTGCATTATTTCCGAAAGGATTGAGGATTGAGGTGTAGGTAGTTTTTGTGGTCTGTTGTACAGTACAGTATTTTTTTTAGATTCCTGGCTGTTATCCCTTTTTATGAATCACCAAACAATCCATGAACTCATTTGAACAAAAAGTCAATATATCGAATTTCTATAATTCTGATGTCTAACTACCTGCACAAATTTACAATGAGGCATTGCTGTTTTGTTACCAACTTAAGATACTGTGGATTAGTTTATTTTTCGTGGGTACCAATTTTCGTGGATTATGGAAAAATAGTATTTTCTAGGGTATTTCGTGGTTTTACAACAGTCTACATACAAAGCCTATACAAAATTTGTACTTTGTTGAATTTTTAAATTCGTGGTTCACAAGTAACCAGGAAAATTGGTATCCCACGAATAATAATGAATGCAAAGTATTGGGATCATCATCATTAAACTATATATGAGTCAATCAACCATCAATTTGTGACAAACTTAGTTGTCTGATCAGGTTTTGGTTATTAAAATGAACTTACTTGTTTCCTAAAATCCTCTCTTTAATTTTCCCGCTTTGATTAGACAATCAGGTTTCTGTTTGCGAACAGTTTTAGTTTACATCGTGGGGGAAAGGGTAGAAATGGGATTGACTGCAAAATATTTTACAGTTGCCAGCTGGGCGATCGGGATGATCAAATATATTCGCCCAGCCAAAAATCTGGGTGATCTTTAAGTTTAGTCCCTGCACGGTCAAGTTAGACTTTTTAGGCAGACATGTACACCTTACAATAATTTTATAGATCAAATACTGTTGACCTAGTATCACTCATTGTATCTAAGAAATTGACCTATGCATGATAACTAAACACTGATCACTGAACTATATGTTCATAATAAACCTACTTACACTGATTTTGTAGACCAAATGTGGTTGAACTATCATTAAATATAAATGAACCTATTTAAACAATGACAAAAAAATAAGCTGATCCCAGTTAAGACAGAAATATACACTAGGCTTACAATATAACATTGTAGTTGACTGATTACTCAGAGTAACTGAGAAATGACAAACATGAACTATAATCTATTTATTGAACCATGAAATTGAGCTCAATGTGAGGTGACTACTTTTAGACAATCATATACACAATTCAATGAATATGTAGACCAATTAAAAGACCATAGAACCTCCATAAGCCTGAAAATCTCATGACCTATTAATCATATTAGCAGAGAAACTGACTTAAGCACCAAAATATCCTATAGGTCACTGTTTCATAAAAAATTATTAGGTTGAGGGGAGGTGATCTATCTCATACAGACACGTACATCTTACAATGATGCTACAAACCAAACATATTGACGCCACCTATTAATCATATTAAATGAGGAACTGACCTAACAATAAAAACTTCAACACTGATCTGACAATAGGTCAAGGTCAAGCAACTTATGTCAGAAAGACTGGTTCACTTTACATTGATTATTTTTGTCTCGCCTTGATGGAGTCAAAAGGCGAGACATAGGTATGATGTTTCCGGCTTCGGCGCCATCAACAATGTTTTAGTTTGTGATAAGGTTTAGTTTATGGTGAACCACTAGGGTAGGTCAATGATATTTGGTATGCAGTTGTATAATCATTGCCATATCTCATAACCATGGAGATTATTTGGTTCCGCCCCCTTAGTCATAATCTATTGACTTTGAAACCTTTGCTTAGTTTACATGTATTAGTTTGTGATTAGGTCAGTTCAAGGGGAACCATTAGTGATAGGCCAATGTTAATTGGTATGCAGTTGTATACGCATTAGCACATCTCATTTCCATGGAGAATATTTGGCCCCGCCCCCCTCAGTCAGGGTCTATTGACTTTGAAACTTTTGCTTAGTTTACATGTATTAGTTTGTGATTAGTTCAGTTTAAGATGAACCGCTAATGTTAAGTCAATGATATTTGGTATGCAAATTTATTGGCATTTGCAAGTCTCGTTTCCATGGAGATTATATAGTCCCACCCTCTCATCATGGTTCATTGACTTTGAAACTATTGCATAGTTTACAAGTTAATGTTTGTGTTTAGGTTTGTTTAAAGGGAACGACTAATGATAAGTAAATGGTATTTGGTATGCAGTTGTATTAGCATTGGCACATCTCATTTCCATAGAGATTGTTTAGCCATGTACCTTCAGTCATGATTCATTGACTTTGAATATTTGCATAACTTACATGTGAAAGTATTGCTATTTTAATTTCAGCATTTGCATTATCAAAATTACAATAAACAGCTGTGCCATGAGCGGATGGTTCGCCCGTCGCTTTTTTAAAGAATAAAGTTCAATAACTTCTCAATGTCATTTTAGAAATTTATGAAAAACGAAAGGGAGGTTATATTAATAGATATAAACCAGTCACCAAAGTTTCATGAAAACTGCTCAAAGCACTTTTGATATTGTCCGAAAACAGGAAAATCACCCCCTTTTTATGAATAAAATCCCATAACTCGGAAACGTAAAATCTAAAATTTATAAAAATCGAAAGGGAGCTTATGTCAATAGATGTAAACAATTCACCAAACTTTCATGAAATCTCCTGAAAGCATTTTTGAGTTATTGTCTGAAATCTAGAAAAAAAACCTTTCTTAATGAATAAAACCCCATAACTCCGAAATGTAAAATCTAAAATTTATAAAATTCGAAAGGGAGCTCATGTCAATAGATATAAACAATTCACCAAAGGTTCTTGCAAATTGGTAAAAGTATTTTTGAGTTATTGTCCGAAAACTGGAAAATCCCCCTTTTTTAATGAATAAAACCCCATAACTCGGAAACTTAAAACCTAAATTTTATAAAAAAAACGAAAGGGAGCTCATGTCAGTAGATATAAACAATTCACCAAAGTTTCATGCAGATTGGTTAAAGCGTTTTTGAGTTATTGTCCGACATGTTGACGACGGACGGGCAGAGGGACGGACAGACGACGGACGGACGGACGGACGGACAACGGTATACCATAATACGTCCCGTAAACGGGCGTATAAAAAGGCGAGACATATTTCTGATGGTAAATGACAAACTGATCTAATAAGAAAGATTTAACATTAACTTAAGGATGTTTTCTACTCTTGTTTTTGACTTTTTGCCAGATATTCGAAATCCTCTAGTTTTATCCATATACATGTACTGCCATTACAAATTTTGCCCACTTTCCCCTACTTTTCTTTATTTTATTACATATAGTTTCAAAAGCCATTTTTGAAAATTTTATAAAATCCTTGTTATTTTTTCATAGTTTTTGAAAGAAAAAAGGTGCAAATGTTAAACGTATGAAAGATCCGGAGAGAAACATTTGCCGCCAAATTTTCATTTGATTATTTTTCAAAAACAAAATCACGGACCTGTCATTTTTTCTACTTTTAAAGTTCCGTTTTTTATATACTGTCAATTTATAACAGTCTTTTATTTTGAAACAGAGGAGCCAACATCCTTAAGAAGTCATTTAAGTATGCAATAGTGGTCAATAGCAACTGAAGGATTTGCCAGAAGGAAACAAAGATAGAAGCCATTTATAAGTAAAATATGTCTGGATTGTCTAACTTTTTAATTTTCTGAAATATAAATTTTTTTATTCAGTATATTCCCTTGCAGCCACAGCCTGACTGTCATACCAATCTCTAACACAGCAACAACGGAAGCAGGCAAGATAATAAAACAGTAAAGTCTTTGTGGGAATTGACAAATCAAAGAAGCTGTCATACTATACATCATATATACATTCTCTAACACTTAATAAAGTCATATAATTTTACTTTTAATATCACAGAAAAAACTTTTACATTACAGTTTTATGAAATCCTGGATATGATCTTGTGCATACACTTACCAAAATATGGCATAGATCTCAGCTCTGCATAAGCTCTGATTAACAGATACCCTAAGTACAGAAGAACCAGTCCTCCAACAATGAAGACGAATATTTTAAAACGCTGCAAATAAAAAATGATACATGTAGTACATTGTTGAACTATATACACTAAGAGGCTAAAATAGGCAAGAAAATTTTATAATATAAAACTTTAATGTGAAAATTTGAGTATTTTGCCATCTGTCCTCCCCTCCGTGCTTCATCCAGAGAAAGACAACTACAAACAATAATACCTCATCTTAATATAGACACAAGTAAAACTGTATAAGTCTTGTACATACCATTTTATGGTAACAAATCACCTGTTTGTAGTTCAAGTCACACACACTCATTTGTACAAGCACTTATCATAATGTACAAGCACTTCTGAATCATTACTTTGCTGTGTTATTGGATCGCTGTCTCATGGACATGTATACCACATCCCCTTGTATAAGAAAACATCATGAGTATCACACATAACAAGAAAAAGACAGAGATTTTAGAAAAATAATTTCATTTATAAAATCTTAAAAAAAAACAGTATGTGATGAGGACCAGATTGGATGTAGATCTTAATCATCTGATTTATACCGACCGTGCAAGACCCTCATGGGTAGTCAAGGTCGTTAAAAAAAACCTCGTCGTAGTCTGATTTATTCCAAAAAGTGGTAAACATGAAAGCTACTATTGAAACATAAGTGGGCAAATACAAATTCTCATCTTGAAACTGATAATGTGAATTTGTTGAAATCCTGTATGGTCAAGGTCAAACAATATCTATACTACTAAAGGAAGAGACCGATTTTATTGAGTCGCAACTCCTCTGAAACCATATAAAGTCGGAAATATTTGTGATATGACGTATAAATGTAGTGTTTTGTACTTCCTGAATTTGTCTTTGAAACAATCTTTTTTCCACAGAAAACGCAAATTTTTGAGAAAATATCCAAATTCGGAGACCGTTCTCGAGCACATGCTCAGTCGACGTACTGCCCGCGAAATTTATAATACTAAGGTGGCAGTCGCCAGTTATTTTACAATAAATCTTTAGAATTTCATGGATTTATGATTTAATTTTCTTGAAAATCTTTCAAGCTTATATACAAATAAAATGTATGGTTTTGAGTAACTAAGATGTGTGCGTGCTTATGTGAATCTATAGAAAACCTTTAAATTTGGGTGTCTGTCCAGCATGGAGATTTTAAAATTCATAAATGCATTGCAAATAAGGCAAAAAATGTGATGCTCTGATACAAATCTAATCCTCACCTTCCTGCTTAAAGCCGACAAGAATTTTAGGCAAAATTCAAGAGATAAATGATATTCAATGCATTAGAGCCTTGTCCGCACCTATCCTTACCATCAAAATCTCAAGATATTTTTGTTTACATAAAACTGAATTTTTCCCCCACTTTGATTGGATGCCGTCAAATGAGGAGACCACAATTTTGACCTCTGATTGGACCCATATGTGAAGAAAATCCCCAACCTGTGTATGCAACTACTTACTTATATAGTATAATAGCCTAGAATTTACATTCATTTATTTCTTCAGTCCGAATGATGCAGTTATATACCTCATTGCTTAACTATAACAATATTTCTGCGTGGGACACATGTTCTGGTACACCAAAACTGGTACCTGCCACCTACAATAACGAGGTCATGAATTTCGTACAGGGATTAATACTACTAAATTCAATCTTTGTCACATGAATTTTCCGGTTGTAGTAAGAAAACCAGGTCGGGTTCAAACAGAAAGATTTTGATAGCAGAGAAAAACTATGCACCTTATAATCAGCACAACTTTATCAGATGACAATACGAATACTAAAAATCAAGGCTTAAAATAAGGCGTAGGTACTTTAATTTAGTCACGGATCCGCGATGTCGCGGGTGTTTTCTAGTATATCATAATGTACAAGCACTTCTGATGTCAAGAATCATCACTTCAGATAATTTTTCAAATTTAAGTGTGTTGTTCAGTAACTATCTCATGGACATTTATACCACATCTCCTTGTTTCATCAATTTTCCATAATTTACTCTGTTGAAATACCAGATACTGTATGTGATATCTGATTGCTGTTGAAAAAATCTATGTTTAATTATTTGTAAAAATTCTGTGTTGTTTGAATTGATTAGCACTGCATTAAGCAAAAATAGAGTAGTATTTTTTCTGTTGGCTTAATGTTGAATGCATGCAGAAATATGACGTCCTTGCTTTTGTCATCCTTCATTTTAGAACACTAAATTTCTTCTAACAGACAAGGCAATACATTTTGTCTTCTCTTTATTCTATAGAATAGCAAAATATAACATTGAAGTTTGGTTTGAGTGAAGATTGTTATAATTTCTTTGAATGAATCATGTTATGGTAACAATTCCCTTCAGCCAATAAAACATCCCTAAAATAACCATGTAATATTGACCCTCTTTCCATTGTAGAATCAAAGAATTAAAAGTTAAAGTCTATAGTGATAAACCAAATGTTGAGTGACCCTATATATGTTTAAAGGATACTTTAAAAAGATTTTATGAAGAAGAATATTAATTCTGGCAGAAAGTGGTAATTGGTTAGTATTACAGAAGATAGGATTTTGTACGTACTAGTCACATGTGCTTCACTTGATCCTTATCATACAGTATAAATTGTCATGTGGTTAACATTCCTTTAAGTATTGGATTCCTTCACGCACTGATACCAAAATTGTTTTGTCAGTTGATGTGATTAAATTAAATACTCATAAGTTCCTTGCTGCATGGACATTTTAAATATACCAGAGAGTCCATTACAAATTATATGAAGAAGAATATAAAGAAAACCGATGAAATTCCCAGACACTTTGTGTAAGTGTTATACAAAAACAAAATACTTATATGTTACATTTAAAGGGACCCAGTTTCAACTCATATATAAAGTAATTTGTTTTGCAATAAGCAGACATCTAATACTTTAAAATTTAAAGTGAACAGTACAGCTGGTGTACACATTTCATTTAATTAATCAAAGGTCAGTGGTATTTTTTTTAAATATCCTGTCAGTAGTATATTGAAACAGCTCAGAATGCAAGGATTATTAGTGACTTTTATTATTCATGTCATTCTTGTGGACACTATGTTGTCCTTATCTGAATCCGACTCCTGTGACGGAGAACAATGTGGTAGTGTTATATCTATGCCAATAATGGACAATATGAAAGCTTCTTTAAAAGCTGACTTGGATGTGTCTAAAATGAATAAACATTTAAAGGCATACATACAACAGGAAATTGAATTAGGTGTGAAGACAGCAATGGAAAATCTGATGAAACAAATGATAGAAAACAAAACAGAAAAGATGAATTCAAGAATTAAGACAATGTCTGAAAAGAAAAATGCAGAAATAACAGTCAGATTAGACGATGCTGAGGAAAGACAAATGAGAAAAACAGATCAGATGGAGCAGCTCATAAAAAACACAAGTGAAGAAATGTTGACATCATTTCAAGACAATGCGGAAAGACAAACAATTAAAACAAATCAGATGGAGCAGCTCATAAAAAACAAAAGTGAAGAAATGTTAACATTAGTTAAAGACAATGCGGACAAAAGTATGGCAAGCTTTGAGGTAAAAATGAAAGAATTTAAGCAGAAATTTGAACAAAAGGATAGATTAAACTATGCTTTTTTCGCATATATGTCATTTTCTAAGAGTAATTTAAAAATAGGCACCATAATTATATTTGATGTTGTACCACTGACCGTTGGAAGAGCTTACGATGGTACAACAGGAAAGTTTACATGTAGAGAAGATGGGATATACACATTCTCCTGGACTACACTGTCAACTTCAAAAAGTGATTGTACCAGTGCTTTTGTAGTTGATGGAAAACCAATAGCTAGTAATGCAGTAGATAATGATAAGACTGAAGATGCTATGACAGGATCTATAACTCTGATTGTTAAAATGACAAAGGGACAAGAGGCATGGATTGAATTTGTCGAACCATCAAAGAATTATTTAGATAATTCATGGTATAGTAATGTACCATCTTCAGTGTTCTCAGGATTTAAAATTTAACTGTTAACCTTCCAGTAGTAGTTAGATAATATTGAGTGATTATATTCAAAAATAACATTTTCATTTCCTTCAGAAGTTTTATAAGATGGTAAACGCTCAGCATATGATCAGGTTCATCTAAATGAATAAGGTTTTCTCAAAAGTTTTATCAGACTGTTTACTTTACGTTGGGGTATGACAATAGCAATGACTAAAACAGTTTACCAAATTGCAGTTTGAATTCTTCTCTCACAAACTGATCATATGGTAAAATATTTTAACAATTTGCTTCAGTGAAAGGTTGTTAGTATGAAGTGAGTGCAGTGAAATAAAAAGTAAAACTTACCATCCAGCTCCAGATAGTTGATGTCTATGTCATGATTTTCAAACAAAATAATCACTTACTATAATATGAGTCACTGGTTTAAAAAGGTATAACTTTGACATGAAAACTTCTATCCTAAATAAATTTTATAAATAAATAGTTCAAAACATTGTTTTGTAGGTTAATAATTTCTAGCTCTGTTAATACCATTATGACTCTCAGAACACATACCCTTGCTAGATATCCTCTCTAACCACCTTGTTTTTTTTTAAGTTGGGCTCGGAATGTAACCGTAGAGCATGATTTTACATAGACTTAGGAAAGCAATCCCATCACACAGGTAAGGGCTATTAAAGAAAAAATATATGGGGGAGGGACTTTTAATATTTTTGTATGGGTGGGGGCAGGTCACGAAGTTCAAATTGTGTGGTTATGTATGCAAAGTAAAATGTTATTATATGTGAGATGGCCATAAAAAAGTGCCTTCCAAACCCCCCATAAATTCTTTTTCTGGAATAGCCCTGTAATAGTCAGGAGCCTGTTGTTCAGTGGTTGTCGTTTGTTGGTGTGGTTCATAGGTGTTTCTCGTTTCTTGTTTTTTATATAGATTATACCGTTGGTTTTCCTATTTGAATTGTTTTACACTAGTCATTTTTGGGCCTTTTATAGCTTGCTGTTCGATGTGAGCCAAGGTATCCGTGTCTTGAAGGCCGTA